CTTCATGCAGTTTGACACTTGTCAACCGATTGCACTTTCAGAGATCTGATGCTATTTGTAAGATTTAAATTAGTGAATCATGCAAGATCATGGATGAGAAAGAAGAAAAGTAAGGGCGGGGGGAAATAACAACTCTTTGAGGTACACAAATTTTCTTATATACATAAGACACTGTTTTTCGTCTAGATACAATAAAGATATATTTATCTAGCTATCCAGCTCTATGGTCTGAATGATTTAACTTTACAATCTTCATTATCATTCTGGACAATATAATGACAGTATACTATACGATAAAACGGAAGTCCATTTTGATGTAGACTATCTTGTGTAGACAGAAAATCTGAAAGTTTTACACTTGAAATATCCAGCTGTTATGTCCCGATAAGCATAATGAATGGTAACTTTGGGATCCATTTATGAACCAATAATATAATATAATTGTTAAATAACTAAACTATTCATATTCATATTCCTCTTATTATGAGCTTTATTTGAACCTATGAACTATTATTATACTATTAACCATTCTTGAATTATGCCCTGTCTGTTAATTACTATCTCCCACATTCACAGCCACTTTTGACTAGATCTTGTTCAAATGTTATTTTCTATGTTTTGGCACGTTTTGGTCTGTTTGATTGGTACATAAACCGAGTATGTTTGAAATACATAATTTATATCACAGAGGCTCGGAATGGTGTTCTGCATTTAAGTGGCTGGGCTAGGTAGGAAGCAGGGCCAATCAGGGCTCTAGACTGCTCGTCCGGTTTTTACGCGTTATTGATGCGATCGATAAGTCATGGTTCCCTAATTGGCGGTATCATTACTTATCCATTAACAGGGCACACAGGTGTTTGGTCATACACCAATTTTTTTTCTTTTTAAAAAGAGACAAAGTTTTATAGCGTTTTTAACTTCTGAAGATTATAAATTTTATCCAAAGGATAAACATATCCTTATCACGAAATAACTGGTTAATGTACAGTAAACTAGTGATTACAACTTATGCCCTTTATCCTATTATTATGTAACGTAATGATACTGCCAATCAGAGAACAGTGACTTATCGACCGGACCAATGACGCATAAAACCCGTATGAGAAGTCCGGAGTCATTATCGGTCCTGCTTCCCGACTAGCCCTGCCTCTTAAGTCGAGAAAAGCAATCTCAGTCTCCACAATATGAATAATGCATTACAAACATACTGAATTTATATACAAACCAAACAGAGCACATCGTACTATAAAATAGGAAACAACTTTTTTACAAGATCTAGCCAAATGTAGCTGTGAATGTGGGAGATAGTAATTGGTAGACTGAGAATAACTCAAGAATGGTAACTCGTATCATAATAGTTCATAGGTCAGAATAAAACTTAACAATTATACTATAAAAATATACCCACAGTAATAGTTTAGAAATAGATTCCAACAGTTACCATTCATTCTTCTCATCAAGATATAACACTAGTAATAAGCCTTACTGTCTTCAATACCATTCTATCAATCAGTCCTAAACAGCATTGAATATGGAATTAATCATATTGACACATATCATAACAATTAAGCAACAATAAGAACAAAAGAGACAAGTAATAGATAAGGAAAAATAATCAATTTTATCCTGATGAAACCTGACAAAGTGAGAAAATATACAATCAAAACCTTCACAAGAACATCTAGAATGAATACAGTTGTACTAATGGAATTCATTTCACAACAGATCAATGAATATTACCTACTATAATGTAGGATGATACTTGTGTAGTGAACAAGAACACACATAGAGACAATCCAATGTATGTGAACTCAAAATTACAGAACATATCACTAAAATGTGAAAATCACATAGTGAATAATTCATTTGCAAAATGTCAATCTACTGTCTCAAACTTGACTGTTGTTTTGCAAATATCAGTTCATCATCTTAGATTTCATTGTTCCTACATTTTCATACAGATTGCTTTCTGTTTTCATCCTTTCCTTTTCAATCCTTTTCAGAAATACATTTTATTCCTGACCATCGTTATATACTACTTATATAGATATAAGTAACCCATACCATACTTAGACCACAAAAACAATATTTATATATTATCAGAAGGGATTGTGTGGAGATTTTAGAAATTTCACTGGTTGAAATCATGAATCCATTGAAGCTAGACCACCATGGAAATCATAGAAACGGCTGTCCAGTGCTTCCAGGGTTTCCATGGTGATCTAGCTTCAATGGATTCATGATTTCAACCAGTGAAATATTTATATATACTTTTAAAAACGATTCAGATAATCATTAGCGATTTAGTCCATTTAATCTGTTAAAGACAGATTTCTGTTTAAAAGTTCCGAATCCCTCATACTACTAATAGTAGTTTAATACTTATAGATTCCCAACTAGAAATATATCAAATCAATCTTGTAAATTTTTTTCACTTTAATCAAATCAATATTTGACAAGATTATCATTTATGGACGAACCAATGACGTGTAAAGTAACTGATCTTGGATTTTGGCGGGAAATTCAATCATCCATTTGGTTAAATAGAGTTTTAACATTCTACCTGATGTTGATTCATGATGAAAACTATAAATTTAATTCTTTAAACTCTAATCATCAATTGAAAAATGAGAATTCTAACTGCTTCATAAACATCATTTACTCCTAATCACTCAGTATCCATTCACAAAGTTACTTCTGCGTCTCTCATTAAACATCTTTATTCCGTATGTTATGAATTGCTTGACTAAAACCTAAACATTTTATTATACTTGAATATTTGTCAATCTATAAAAAGGAAAAGCAATAAACGTTTTGGAAATAATTCACTTGATATTGTTTTATTTGAATCTTCCCATTGATGTTTAGGACTGAAGTTGATCAGTCTGTTATTAGCACGCGTGTCCTGGATTCCACTGCTAGCCACTATCCATCTTTGCTTATAATGCTTGTTAATTAAGGCAATATCGAGACAATATTCACAGTATGTTTACATGCCAATAAGAGAGAGACTGATCAATTGCAGTCATAAACATCAATGAAGGAGATTCAAGTAAACAACAATATCAAGTGAATTCGATCTTCACTCCCATTGCACAAGCAAGTGTCCATCAAGACTCAGTAGGTAAGTGAATAACGTGATGGCATTTGAAGCGAATGGTACTGGGTTCGAGTCCCAGAGTGAACATCAATATGTCTGAGATGTGCCAGGCATATCCAGCTGATGACGAGTCCCAAATAGGACAAAACATGCGTCAAACTGGATTCCACTTCTAGTCACTATCAAACTTTGCTTATAATGTTTTGGGAATAGTTTTGCCCTAGTATATTCTACTATATATATATATATATATATATATATATATATATATATATATATATATATATATATATATATATATAGAATTCCCCATCATAAAATCTATACTAATCACTATGTCTAAATTTAGCTTTCTTTAATCGATCAACAACAAAACAAACAATCATCTATCTCTGTCCCTAAAGATTTCAGTCCTAAATTTGGGACAATTTTCATTTAATGACCTTGAATGCGAATTGTTTATTGGTTAATATTCTATTAAAAAATAAAAAAAAATTTGGGTATGGAAGAAACCATTAAATTAAGAAGAATATAGTTTTCCATTAGATTTTAGTCTTATTAAAATCATATTTTTTTTATAAAAAAAAACTTTTTTTTAGAGAATTCAGACTCTTTCCTTTGAGAAATGATAAAATTCAATGTATTTTACCTGTTTTCTATAGTGGATACTACTGATAAGATTATTTATAAGTAGTATGTTATGGAATGTGACCTTGAAGTTAGTAGTTAAGGTGAATTTTTAATGATTAACAGAATATTTGGATACTAGATGAAAATATAGTACAGATTTCAAAGCATATCGAAAGACTATTTAAATCGTATTATTGACAATATTTTGTTACTATGGATTGATTTACAAAGGAATTTAAAGTTACTTTAAGGAGCATAATTGTGAACTGGTGATAAATTTCAAAATATTTAGAATTGTAATATGTTATGTGTAAAATAATGAATATTTATGTGTCCATTGATACTAGATCACTATGAAAAACTTGGAATAACTGAATGACCATTTTGTCCTAGTATGAGACTCTTCAACAGTGTGCATCTATGATCTCGCCTCGAGAGATTTGAATCCAGGACTTATCAATTTGGCATGCAAGCTCTTAACCTCTAGACCACTGAGCCAGCCGGGATCCAACAGTGTTAAAGTCTAAGTTTAACCAATCAACTACTAAATTACTATAATATCCATAAAACGCATGTCTGATTAAATACTTGTGTTTGTCAAAACTTCTATCAAAAGTAATTGTAGTTAAGAATCATTGAGGTACAGTTATTCATAAGGAAGGAACATTGTGATGTATTATAATTTCTGACAAATGTTTCCAATACAGTACAATTTAAAAACAACAAACTTCTTTTCACAAATAACAATCAAGTCTAAACGATGCTGGAGCCTTATACCTATAAACTTAATATACAAGGCAGTAGAGCAACGTTAGAAGATGCAGTCCCATGGTAGCCTGTGACCGACAATAGGTTCGTACGCCATTTATTTCCTCAGGATCCTGAAATCCATGTACACCATTGGTTTGGAATCACGATTTTCAAACTACCTAAATGGTTCCTTCATATTTATCAACCTGGTTAAAACGCCAAACATTCGCTTTTCATTCTCTCAATTTCATAAACAACACCAGTGCCGTGAGAAGTCAATTAATAGAACTTCCCTATCAGTGGCTTTATACGCATGGCGATTTAACAGCATTTCAAGATGGAAAGCTGACTCTCTCCACCCTCGACCGTACTAAGGCATTTGGGGGAGCAGGTCACTGTTACACTCTTTAACTATAAACAAAATAAGTTGTTTACTAAGGGTTAGGAAATTTGATATCATGTTTTATAAACATATATATATAACATTAATAATAATGTAACCACAAATCCATTAACTTACAGGTACAGTTTCTGATCGTATTGTTGGAGCCATATTAACTACAGGACTTGAAGCTGTTCTCTCTAATAATGGATTATTACGTCCAGGAGTTTGATTTATTCGTGAAATTGGTGAATTAGAACCATCCAACATGTTTACACCTGAACGATCTGATGTTAAAAATTCAGATCTGAAAAGTGTCAACATGAATAGAATAGGTTTTTTTTCAAAAAACTTAGTAATCAATTAGAACATTTTACATTAGATAATGTTCATTTGAATGATTGAGAACTATAATGACTTTTTAAAGATGTCATTGCATCTTGTTGAATGCCTTTCAATAATGTACCTCAGAATTTAATGAAAATAGAACATTGACTAGACACTGATAGCCAAATAACGATTGTTGAAATGATGTTAACTATCAGTTGAATCTTGAACGTACGTTTCGTCCCATTCGAAACTCATCAACTGAGTGTACCTACATCCCATAGTTTATGTTCACTCCGGAACTTATATTGTTTATGAGTTAAGGCAATATTTAGACGATCTATACAAGATACACTTTTGTCAATAAGAGACTGATTAATTATAGAGCTTAACAACAATCAGAAGATTTAAGAAACCAATACAAAAATCAATTAAACGTTTGTTTTGTTTATGTCTAAAGCATTTCAATAATATACATCGTAGTTCTACATTGTATCGAAGTCACTAATAATTATCAAGTTCAACCTTGGCATTGATACATATTTTAAATCTTTCTTGATTACCAATACTTTTCCAATTATTAGTTAATTATTAATAATTGAATTCTTGAGTTAATTGATGCTAGACAGCTATGGAAAACCTAGAAGCACTGAATAATTGTTTCGTCCCTGTATGGGATTCCTCAGCACTACAAAACCACGATGCCGCCTCGCGAGATTTGAACCCATGATCTCTCAGCCTTGCACTCAAGATCGAGTCGGTCGGCATCTAACGGTGTTAATGTATTACTTCAACCAATATAAATGTAATTTTTTTGTTATCACTGAAATTAATAATGAACCGGGTACACTAAAAATTAGATAGTAAGATCAATAGTTGAAGCTAGACAACTATGGAAAACCTGAAAGGCGGTTTCGTCCTAGTATGGGACTCCTCAGCAGTGAGCATCCACAATCTGGCACCACCACCCCCGAGAGATTCGAGCCCAGGACCTATCAGCCTTGCGCACGAGTGCTTAACCTCTAGACCACTGAGCCAGCATCCAACGGTGTTAATGTCAAACTTCATCTAATCCACGAAATCGTGCCACAGTACACCATTGTCCTTGGTGAACTGATATCTCACAACGGACATGGTTGAACTTCACTAGCAACGGCTTCTCAAGATATCCTTACTTACTTACGCCTGTTACTCTTCGTGAAGCATCATAGGCCTCTCAACAACATTCTCCATCCAACCCTGTCCTGGGCAATACTTTACAGCTCTTTCCAGTTGGTATTCATACTTTTCATATCTGCTTCTATTTCCCGACTTAATGTGTTCTTTGACCTTCCACTTTTCCGCTTCCCTTCACGATTCCAAAGTAGGGTTTGCCTCGTGATGCAGTTTGATGATTTCCATAATGTATGTTCTATCCATTTCCATCGTGTTTTCTTAATTTCCTCTTTAGCTGGATGCTGGTTAGTTCTCTCTCAAAGACGGCTGTTAATGATAATATCTGGCCAATGGATGTTAATAATCTTACCTGGGCAACTATTTATAAATACTTGCAGCTTCTTGATGATTGTTTTAGTTCTCTAGGTTTGAGCTCAATACAATAGAACTGCTTCGACGTTCGTGTTGGAGATTCTAACTTTGATATTGGCTTACAGACAGTTGTTTTGAGTTCCATATGTTCTTCAGTTGTGGCCGTTGCATTACTAATCCTTGCCTTTACGTCTACATCAGATCCTCCTTGTTTATCAATGATGCTTCCTCGATAGTTACATGAATAATCTCACATCATCCAGAGTTTTGCCATCAAGTATGCTTGGTTTGGTATTCTCCATGTTGTATTTGAGGACCTTGTTTTTCCCCTTGTGTATGTCGAGTCCTTTTGATTCAGAGAGTACTGTTAAACTGGCTCTCTTTATCTACATTTTTTCGTGTGTATACGATAGGGATTTCTCACTAGAACTCAAATAAATCCCTCTTGAAATCAATCACTAGTGAACAGATGCCCTGGGCCCCCAAATGCCCTGGTACGGCCGAGAGTGGGGAGAGTCCGCTCTCCCTCTCGAAATGCTCTCACATGGCCATGCGTATATAGCCTCTGTCAGGGAAGTCCTACTCACTGCCTTCTCGTGGCGGGGGTGTTGTTTACAAAAATGAGAGGACGAAAAGCGAATGTCCGGCGCTTTAACATGACCCCAAACCAATGGTGCACATGGGATGGCTCCAGTATCCTGAAGGAACAAATGGCGTATGAACCAATCGTCGGTCACCAATCACCATGGGACTGCATCTCCTCACGATGCTCCACTGCTTTGTGGATCAGATCTTCAGGTCAAAGGCTCGAGGTGTGGCCCCCTAAGAAAACCACCTGCTTCGGTTTGGGCACCCGAGCAGTATCACAGCGCTCACACAAATCAATTGAGATCTGTGTGGCGCATATGTATTTGGTGCCTCTCTGTACCTATACTTATGTGTTAAAATAAATAAATAAATAAATATGTCGAGTTTTTTTGATTCAGAGTGTACTGTTAAACTGGCTCTCTTTATCTACATTTTTTCGTGTGTATACGATAGGGATTTCTCACTAGAACTCTAATAAACGCCTCTTGAAATCAATCACTAATGAGCAGATAATTATGATCAGAAGGGATTTTGTGTAAATTTTAGAGTCAATTATATCTAGACTCTCATGATTTCAACTATTAATATTTTTAAATATTATCAGAAGGAATTTTGTAGAGATTGTAATAATTTCAATGGTTAAGATCATGAGTCAGTTGAAGCTAGACTATCAGTATGTTCCGGGGTTCGAATCTCGCAGGGGGGGGGGGCATGTCGTGGATGTATACTGCTAAGAAATCTCATAATAGAATAAAACAATCTTCCAGTACTTTCAAATTTTCCATGATACTTTAACTTCAATTGATTCATTATCTTAACCATTTCTTCACAAAACTCTTCTCTTTGATACTCCTAAAAATCATTAAATAGATTATATCATCATAGAATTCATAATAAATTAATTTACCTTTCTAAAATTTTCTTACGTAATTGTAAAACAACTTTACTTCTTGATGATAATTCATTATCTATAGTGGATTGTATATTACTACTATTATTACTATTATTATTATTATGATTATTATTATTATTGTTTACTTCATCGAATAGATCATGTTCTATTCTATATTGATTTTGTTGTGATATTCCATAATGATTAGTAGCTGCTTCCATAGCTAATAAATTTGCTATTGATGTAACCGATCTAGGTGTATTGATGGATTGATGTATAGGATTAAAATTTTTTAATTGTATATATTGATAATTAGTTGTATAACCATTATTATTTAAATTTAATGGTGTTGATCTAGTTCGACTAATTAAACCAATTGATTGATATCGATATAATGGTAATAAATGATAAATTGATTGATTCATTGGTTTTATTATATTTGATTTATATATTGTTTTATGAATTGAATTCAATTCATTATAATCAATAATTGATTGATTTAGATTAGGTTTAATTGATGTGGATGTATTTGTTGGTATAGTTGTATATTTGATTTGATTAAAATCAATTATATTTTGATGATTCATTTGTATAGATGATGATAATGATGATGATGATGATGATGTACAATGATATTGTTTTGTTAAATTAGGTAAACTTGTACATAATCCATTGATTGTTGAATGATATATTGATTGATTGATAGATATAGGTGTAGTAGTCAATGAATAAGATGAATTGATTGATTCAGATATTGTAGTACAACATGTAGGAATTGTTTCTAATAATTTTTGATTATTATTATTATTATTATTATTATTATATTGTTTAGTATTCATGAATTCAGTTAAAATAACATCTTGACAAGTTTTTGATATGGATGATAATGATGATGATGTTAAAGATTTCTTATCGGTTTTCATTGATTGTTCATGATTATCTATAGATAATGATATAGTATTATTATTATTAGGATTATTTATATCTTGTAATTGTTGTAATGATTTTTTATTGATTGTTTTATGAATTAAATTTGTATGTTGAAATGTTGAACTGATTTGTGGCCATAAACTAATCATTGCTAATGGATCATTCGATATAGACATTGTAGCAGCTGCAGCTGCAGCTACAGCTACTGCTGCTGTTGTATTCATTCCAAAATGATGATGATGATGAGAATGATGAGGATGATGATGAGGAGGATGATGATAATGACGACGATCTGATTTATAACGAGATTTATGTACACCACCAGAACCACTACGCATTTTTAAACTTGGCTCTGATACTGTTTTACGTAGATTTTCAGCAATTAATTTATTCTGTTGTTCATATTGATGTTGATAATCAGGATAATGTGAATGATTATAGGAATTATAATTAGAATGATCATATTGTATAATATGTTTATCACAATAATTTGTTTCTATATTAGATGTATGTAAATTTTGACAATCCATATAATGTATATCTGTTTCATGATTTGAATATGAATGTTGTATTGGATGATGTAATATATTGGATTTTTTTATATGAATTGGTAAAGATGTCATAGTAATTGTTTGATTAGGTGATGAAAGATTTTCAACATCGATTGTTAATGGTTTAGTACAACTAGGATCATTCGTATTATTACTATTATTATTATTATTATTATCATTATTATTATGAATACTGTTTTGGTTACTAAGTGGTGGTATAGATTTACCATTCAAATGATCATTATTAACAGATTGTTCTTGATTCATTTGTATTAAATCTTTATCAAGGATAAGATTACTTTGTTGTTGTTGTTGTTGTTGTTGTGATGGTGGTGGTGGTGGTTGTGGTTGTTGACTAATACTCATATTCAACAATATTGTCTCATTTGAATGAATTCCTTGTTCTTTACTTTTACGTTTATTTAATACACAATTTTTTAAACGTTCACGAACAAGTAATGATGTTAAATGTGTTGTATTATTATTATTATTACTAGTATTAGTAGTATTAGTATTTGTAGTAGTAGTAGTAGTAGTAGTAGTAGTGGTATTGTTATTCGCTTGATTCCCTATATTTATATCAGTATACATTTTAGAAGTTATTATTATTTATTCCATAAGTACATTACTTAATTCATTATCCCATAGTAACAAACAAATCAATGAAACACTGATTCATAGAATAGTCATTAATACTAGATTCCAGTGAAATTTAATTGTATTTTATTCAAATAATTGTACATCGGATACTGTTGTCAGGCTTTTGTGTATCTGTGTGTGTATGTACGTATGTATGTATGTATGTATGTGTGTGTGTGTAAGTGTTACAACTCAACTTGAATGATGTAATCAATCAATTGTTGCTAAGTATTATTAAACTATTAATAGCAATCAGTGTGTTATTATCTTTCTATTTATATATATATCTATATCTATGTATATATATTGAATATGAAACATTCTTATTCGAATACATTTATTATTATAATGGATATAAACTAGTCAGTGAATTATGTCGTCATTCCTTAGGTATACTGTTCGTGATAACATTTCTATATACACAGATACAAAATTGCGTGGGTTGATTTATTATCCCTTCATATAGATATATTGTGTATTACATAATAAAGAGAGAGATCTATTCATAGACAATTTCTTTATCATATAACATAATCCTATCTCATACAAAAAGGATTCTAATAATTTGGTATAATCAACGGTAATGATTTGTTGTCAATCCTACTATAATCATATGGTTACTAAAAAGAAAGTACATAGACATTTTTACAGACAGAGACAAAGCGAGCGAGAGAGAGAGAAAGAGCGAGAGCGAGAGAGAGAACGAGGTTGAAAGACATAGAAACAGGGAAAAAGAATGTGGGCAAACTGGTAATACAAGACATAACTATGATTAACAGGCTAATATGTTAGTGATTATAACTAAAAGAACTAGAATATGGGACAAAGAGTAAGAGAGAGAGTGAGAGAGAGAGAGAGAGTGAAGCCATTACGATTGGTGGTTACATTCAAAACATCATATGGTCTATTCATATATTGGGCGTTAAATAACTGTTATTTAAAGGAAACCACTATTTACTATATTCTTTCTGTCTTATTTTATCGTTCCATAAGGATTTTCAGAAATATTAGTTGTATCCTTCTGCAGTGAACTAATAGCAAATACAAAAATAGAACACTGCTCTATTCTTTCTCGTGTTCCCCCCTTTCCATATATATATATATATATATATATATATATATATATATATATATATATATATATCAATAATAGTAGGGATAATGATAAGTCGGATAACATTGATACCATTACCTCGAACAATCAAATCTTTTCTCGAATAAAGGTACTGATATTTATCATTTTAAGTTCACTTGGTGTTTAAACTTCATTCCATTGCACAAGCAAGTGGTTATCAGGAATTAGTAGTTAAGTGGATAACGTGATGACGTTTGAAGCGAACGGTACTGGGTTTGAGTCCTGAAGTGAACATCAATATGTCTGAGATATGGCAGGTACATTCAGCTGATGACAAGTTCCAAATAGAATGAAGTAGCACATATCCTAGATTCTACTGCTAACCACTATATATCTTTGTATAATTTTAAAGTTTTAATAATATTTTTCAGTGATTAATTAAAATATATGAACAGATAAACTATAACTGAGGTTGTCACATCCTTAGTGAATTATTACTGAGTATTCAATTATAATCTTCGTTACAGGCTTCATTTTATGCTTTAGTTTTCATCAGATTTGTGTTTTACATTCAGTATTTTGATATGGGCTAGATGGATATATAACTCTACCTGAAGCTCCTCTGGAACTACTGCCAGTCCCAATCCTGTATAAACAAGTAGGGTAGGGCATGGGGTTAGTGACCTCATCCGGTAGAAAACTAACTCGCTAAAAAACGTTAACAGAAAAAGATTATTCAAGTAAATGAATACATACATAGAAGACAATTATAGATAACATCCGACACATAAAATGAATTTTTGTTAGTGGGAATCACTCTACAATACGTGACAATCAACAACATTCAGAAACATATATATTGACTTCAGATTTCATGGATATCTTCATAAACAGAAAATGTTAAGATTCGAAGAACGAGAAGATTACTTACTTTACAGACGCACGTTAACCCACGTAGGAGTGTAGACCGCCCACCAGGATTCACTAACCAGCTCTGTCATAGGTAATTCTTTACAATTCCTATTCATTCTTTTCATGTCTGCCTTCGATTCCTGACGCAATATGTTCCACGATCTTTCTCTTTACAATTTCCTTTAAGGATTCTAAATTAGCGCTTGCCTCGTGATGCAGCTTGATGATTCCCACAATGTATGTCCCATCCACTACAGACGTTTATTCCTAATTTTCTCTTCAGCTGGAAGTTGACTTAGTCTCTCTCATAGTGGGTTTTCTCTGATAGTATTCATTCAACAGACATCGATTATCTTGTGTATACAACTGTTTATAAATTCTTGTACCATTTTGACGATGATTGTAATAGTTCTCCACGTTTCAGCTCCGTACAATAGAACCAACTGTATTGACTATCGTATTGAAGGTGTTGACTTTGATGTTGGCTGATAGACAGTTGTTTTGAGTTTTATATGTTCTTCAATTGTGGGAATGCTGTCCTTGATTTGCCAATCATCACATTTACCTCTGCATCCGGTTCTCCTTGTTAATCGATGATACTGTTCAGATACGTCAAAGATTCCACATCCTCCAAAGTTTCTCTATCAAGTGTGATTGATTTGGTTGATGTTCTCCGTGTTGAAATTGAAGATCTTGCTTTTTCCTTTGTGTATGATGAAGTCTACTGATGCAGAGGCTACTACTACACTGGCTGTCTTAACCTGTATTTGTTAGTAGGACGAATCTACCGTCCACTGCTTCCAGGTTTTCAATGGTGATCTAACGTCAATCGGTACATGATCTTAATCAAAATTGTCACATATCTTTCCTTAGACTATTATATGCGTAGGTATAAGGAGATCAATTTGACTTCAAAAGTTGTTGGAATATTGAACTGCGAACACAAATACAGTCAAGGTTGATAAGTAAATAATTGACAAGGTCAATGTGTGACTCAAAATGAATGAATAGATTGACCTGTCCGGAAGGGCTGGTATAGTAACCGACACTATAGCCCATTGAAGTATAATTCCTTAGACGTGCGAATGTATTTGGATAAGAAATTATAGAATATTATAGTAAGATCTGAGAACCAAACAGTAAATTCTTTATTTGCAAAATGTCAATCAATTGTCTCAAACTTCACTATTCACTTTGCAAATATTAGTCAATCATTACAGACTTTATTGTTCTGACATTTTCATGCCAAATACTTACTGTTCCTGTTCTTTCCTTCTCAATCTTCTCGATCATTTGTTGCTAGACATTCTATTCTTGACTATCGTTATATGCTACTTATGTCGATATAAGTAGTACTATGGTGTTTGTATGAACTAACGATCCCTTCGTACTTAATGACTGCTTGATTTCGAATCCCAAATACAATACGTTAGTTAGTGCTTATCTAATACTACTTGATTAAATTGCGTTATTTCTGGAATTCTTGGTTTGTACTATAATTCAAATACTTCTAATTAACTCATTGGCGTCGTGATGGAGCCTGTGTTCAAACAATTGGACATTCATTTGTAGTGACCTACTTTTGTCAACAGAACACGATTGGTGTAATGGAAACAATCACTATTATAACCAATTGTACCAGTGATTATTTTACTGTACTTGTTTGTTTAACTGTACCAAAGATATTCTTTCTCCCGTTGACTGTGTCCTTGTACGAATTCGGTTACGTTCAGTAATCCCACTTGTAATCTGGCACGATCTCGGTATTCTTTCAATACCACGAGATCGTCAGCAAATACATCTCGACTACAGCCATCAGCTGCCTTCTGATATTTGGCCTACGGGGGATCTTATCGGTTAACTGGCATTTAGTCTTCTTTTAGTGGTGATCATAGTTAAACACGACTCGACGCCACGCTACACATTCAACTTCTGAAGCTTTTGAGGATCCTTTGGAAAAGTTTGAGATATGGAGCATGACCAAGAAAGATTTTAAGGCTGATAAAACTGTCGCACATATTCTTACATTCATCAGTAGAGAAGCCTACAGTTTATTAAAAACTTTTACATATCCAGAAAAGTTTATCTCACTTCCATATACAACTCTTAAGGAAATACTATTAAATCATGCAAAGTGCACCAGTTTTGAATGTCGTGAGAGAACACAATTTCATAAGATGATTCAAACAGAAAGACCAATAGGTTAAAGAATTCATCCTTGAATTGCAAAGGCAAACTGTCAAATGCAATTTTGATGATCAAATTCATGTATAGCTGAGAGATTGATAAGATGCGGGAAATAACATATCGGGTTTGAAAAGAGAGCTGTTAAGAATGCCACTTAATAGTGATTCCTATTACGGTGTGAATATGAAGGGTGTTTTAATGAGGAATAGCAAAGCAAATCAAAAAGGTGAGAGCAAGTTTGGTGAATGTTTATCTTTTAGTGGCCCATGATCTAACTCCGATTTGATCGTATTAATGTTTGTTATCGCATATCCTTGTATATAATCATTGACTTAAATCGCGTTAGTTAATAACGGAATTAAATAAGTCATATCACGAGAATGGACCTTTGAATACATATATATTTTGTATACGAAGCGAACGGAACAGAGAGAAGAGAAACCACGCGCGGATGAGTCAACTCCCTTTTAACCAAGCGTTAATCAATATTTATAAGCACACAAAAGTAAGTTACAGACATATGATAAGTAATGGGATAAGAAGTGTACACACACCTACGACGCGCTCATAAAAAAACAGTCAAGATATTGATAAGCGAATAATTAAAAAGGTCAAAATAGGACTCAAGTGGAATGAATAGAATGGGCTAGTCGTACCAGAAATTGTTTTACTGTGCTCGTTTGTTTAACTGTGCTAATGTCAGCCACTACTCTCCCGTTGACTTTGAACTTGTACGAATTCGGTTACGCTTAGTACTTACGCTTGAACTCCTTTGGCACGATCTTGATATTCTTTCGATACCACCAGATCACCAGCAAATACATCTCGACTACAGCCATCATCTGCCTTCTGATATTGGCCTACGGGGATCTTATTGGTTAACTGGCATGTAGTCTTCTTGTAGTGGTGTTCATAGTCAGGCACGACTCGACACCACACTACAGATTGCTTAATTCATATGAATGGGACATTGTCTCAAAATAACATTACTTCTTTAAGTGTAGTTTGGTTTTTGGAAAAAAATGGATTTACATCTTTCGCTACATATTGAGCTTTCAGTAGACAGTTAGTAATTCTCCGTGTATAACATACACAGTGTTCAGGATTGTAGATTTAATAAAAGATGTTAAATAGTGAAATCTAGGACGTACGTTTCATTCTGCAT